TCAAAGTTTTTCAACTTTAACTGCACCGTGTGTCGATATGTATCAAGAGAGAGAGAGAGAGAGAAAAAAACGAACGGCGGTTTTCGCGAATTCGTATTTCTGGAAAAAAAAACACAGACGACCCGTCGCACGGTTATTATGCTTGACGCATAAGAAGCAGTCGACAGTTCTGCCGTTACCTCGCAAAAATACGGCAACCGTGAGCGGGGCTTACAAAGGTGAGAATACGCGATTTTCGTTCGTCGGACAACGCGTCATCTGCATAATGCGTGGTTTGTCCACGGGGTTCTCGTGAGCGGGGCAGCGCAGCCGTAGTAACGAAGATGCAGATCGCTTCGCGCGAAAGACGTGATATTCGTAGCACGACCGTACCTCGTCCATTATCGTTGCCCGAACACGTTTTTCATGAGACGATCGAGCGGCATCTCTCCTTTCACACCTTTCTGGTCCCGCGAGTTACGCAAACAAACGCAAAAGAGTTGGACTCTTCAATATTTCAGGCGAAACACGCGCGGTAACAATCTGCCTGTACAAAAATCGATGAAAAAAAAAAAAGAAAAAGAAAAAAAACAACAACGCCATGGAATTTCACAACACTTGCAATATCGCCGCGTAAATTACATCGCACGATGCGCCAGCAGTTTTATTGGTGAATTTAATTATGCAATATAGTTGGCCCGCGAAGTTGTGTTCGGCCGCGTAGTAGTTTTCGGGAGTTATGGCAATATAAGTCACGAAGGAACGATGAATTTTGATATACGAGATTTTTTGGCAAAACAAAAAAAAAACAAAAATTCTCATACGAACATATGGCGGCGGAAGTGCCGGAAGTGATATCTCAGAGAAACGTGGCGTAGGGTTGATGTTAAACTTGATTTCGACCTCTCGCAAAAGTTCGCCCGAGTTCGCTACTTGGAAGAGAGTAATTCATAACTTTTACCACGGCCGAGTTCAATAACGTCCGTTCCGCTGGCGGGTTCATACTGATAATTCATTTTCAAACAGCTCATAACTAAAAGCCAAAGGTCCGCGATGGAATACAGCGTCCGAGAACATTCACCGCTAAATCAGAAAACTTCCGAACGCAAAAGGCGGGAATCTCGTAAAATTGCATTAGGGCAGTCATTTTCTCTTCTGATTGCGGCCGAGAGGTTCTAGAAATTGCACGGAGTAATGGATATTCAAGAACGTTCTCTCCGCCTCGACATACCTCTGGGTCCTCTCTGGAAGTTAAGAAAAACTTCTGGTCCGCGCCGCGGTATAATTCTGGCGAATCCGCGCCGATTTTTCTTTCTCTCTTTCTCTCTCGCTCATTTCTTCCCGATGAACGTGCCGAGATGAAGGGGGGAAAAATCGTGCAGTGAAGCGGGGGCCGAGATACATAGTCGGCGGTCGATGCCGACTAACCGGAAACGAGAGACAGAATTTTCCGTCTGTTCTCGACGAAAGACGGCAGTTCGGCGATCGTAATAACTATTCTCCAACCACGTTTCACCTCCCGGTACGCCATCCACTTCGCGTAAACACCAGCATAAATTCCAGAGTGCCTGCCCTTTTCCCCGTTTCCCGCGCCATTCGCGTTACATCCCCAGCCCGTCTACCGCACCACCGTTAACTGTTACGGGACCATCGAGTGTTTCTCACCCTCTACTCGGACGTCCCGCTCGTTTCTTTCGGGGCGAAACAAACGAACAGCGCGGTTTTCCATTTCCTCGATCGATTTTGCCGATAATGGCGACAATAGTAGAAATAATGAGAGCCATTAGCTCGGTGATTAATGACGCGCTTATGATCGAACAAGAGCGCCGCGTTCTCGCGTCTCGCTGCTCTCTTCTCTCTCCGCGCCGGAAAGAGATTTTAGAAATCAGGATTCTTTCGTACCACCGGAAACGGTATTATTGTGACTGTGCGAAAATCCACGCAGTAACATGAAACACAGGATCATTATTCATGTAACGGCCGAGTGATTTGCGAACACAATAGGCGGTCGAAAGCAATATCGAAACTATTTGTTAAATGATACAATCAAGAGTGTACAATTAAATCGCGTGATGCACGTATAGCATCGTGCAGCATGTATTATTTTTTAAACATTTCACAGCGATAAAACAGTCGCTTGAATAATAAATTTCGAGTGTGATGTTCAAAAAAGAGTATCGAGTTTTTTCTTGGCACGCGTTTCTTCTCGCGCGATAAAATACTTGATTTTTTCCTGCAAATATAATTAATCAATTACACAATGTGTATTTTGTAGACAAGCTCGTCTTATTACGCCGTGTTATATATATACCTACGTAGATCAATCGTTGTCACGATCGTCGTTAAAGCGTCCAATCGTATATAAAGACAGGAATTAAACCTGCAGCTATCAAAGCACCAGGAGGGTGCGCAATTAAGATATCCAAATTGGAGTTTGGCTCTCTCTTCTTTCTTTCTCTCTCTCTCTCTTCTCTCTCTCTCTCTCTCTCTCTCCGCACTATAATCGATCGCCTTTGTGGCACCTGTCGAACACGACGATAAAACTCGATTTTCAGATTACGCGGTCCCATTCAGAGACGAGAGACGCGCGCGAGAGCGTCGGTCGGAAAGATGAGGAGGAGGCGGTGTGACTGACAGGCTTCATGCTTTATTCGACAAGTCGGAGGGAATACACACGTTGAAACCTATAACATCGTATCCAGCCTGCGCTTTGGATTTAACAGCCTAGTGTCCGACGATGTACCATGATGCATGACGCGGTGTCGAGTTCCAATTCACCGGGCATCCATGAAAGCAGTCTCTGTGCTCGATGTAAAATATCGGCGATTCGAGATGAAACGAAGCATGCGCGTTTCAGTCCGCCCGCGCATGCGGTAGATGAGGACCGCCGCGATTGCATGTCTCCTTCTCTTTCAAACGATTATATTTAATTCCGAGTCCAAACAAAAATAACTAACACGCGTGTTTGTTAAAGGAAAAATACGTTATGGATTATTAATAACATTTGCGTAGCCTGAAATATACGGGATGAGTATTTACTATTTGCAAAAATCAAAGATAAAAAACCACAAACAACTATCACATTTTGAGAATAACCACATGTCGTGCATTTGCTTGGCATAATTATCTTTAAAATATTATTTCTATCAATAGAAAAACCTTTTTAACCAGTAAACACAAAGCATCATGTTTGGTAAAATAAGTTTTTTTTTTTTTATATTGTGTTTACGCATCTCACAGTATCCATTCTTCTTAATTAGATAATCTGGTCTAGATTTCGAGATAGATAGTTTAAAACCGACTATTAATTCGGTAGCGTTATTCAATTCATTCGAAAATTGATTGCGTTTTATCGTAAAATTCATCTGCAGAACTGCAGATTGGTTGTGTTCTTTAAATAATATTTGCGCTTTTACGATCAAATAACTTGCTGTGGTGAAATTGCAACACTGATTTATATTTTATTGCTAATGATAACGAAATATTTATGCGTGTAAATGTTAGATCAATGTTGTCAATTAAAATGTATAACTTTATCAAGGAAGCGAAACATTAGGCAAATAGCGAGATCCATCAATTATGGCCTCGAATATCGATGTAATTAGAACGCATGAATGTTATTAAATATTATTTATCATTGCATATCGATTTATACTATGTTCTCGTATAGTGCTGAGTTATAAAATGTAGTATATATAATCACGTATTAATATATAAAATTTACTAAAATATTGAAATGGCTAGTCACATAACAATATGTATATCTAAATATCATTACGGTCAATGACCATACTTTGGTTTGTCAATTAATAATACAGAACAGTAACGCATTTACACGTGCATACACTATTGTGACGTGCATAGCTCTTATTAAAGTGTCGATAGCATGATTAGCGCGCTGTGTTAATATTATATTTATTAACTGTAATTTACTAAACGGTTAAAAAAATTTTAACATGTATTTTAACATTTTTTTGATAGAAGACAAATCATCGTAAAGCATTTGTTCCATAAAATTAAATGATTAGAAGCTACAGATAATAATTAAACAAAAAAATTGCAGAGAGAATAGTTGTTAAATCGATATGTTACACGGCAAAGAAAGATCTTTAAAAATAACGACACACAGTATTACTTCTAGAGACATTCTTAAACATTCAGAGCGAATTTCAGAAAAGATACCTTGGTGAATATACCTACCTCCTCGATGAGGATTAGGAAGTGATTTGCGAGCGATTGCCGATAGCGATGGAAACACGAAAGCCGGAATTTATCGTGATTGGAGTTCTCGTAGAGCGAATCATGAAGCTTTGAGAGCTGTTATCTCGTGCATGCACTAGGTACGCACGAACTATCAGTTTTCATGAGCACGCTCTGTGACGTAAGCATGTGTACTCCCCTATTCTTCGAGGACATATTTATGTGCGATGTTCATTTTCCACAGAAACACACGAGTCTCTAGAATGTACATATTCGAAATAATTTATCTCACAATAAAAACAAACAAAAACAAAATGTATGTTTAATCGTCCTTGATAATATATGTGTTTTGACATTTTATTTTTCTCAACGACATCTACGATTTACTTGTGAGAATAATTTGCCTTTTTTTCTAAGCGTCATTCAATTTATAGAGCGGAACGATTCTTGCATTCCGTTCAACTAATCTCTCGAAACTCTTTTATCTATTTTTTGTCATGTTCTTACCTTTTGTTGAAATTCCAACGTTCACGCAACGGAGTCTGGACCACGGCGACGATTATGGCGACTCATTAGCCGCGCCGGTAAATCATAGCGGTCCTTCGCGGCCGCAGGACAGAGAAGGAAGAAACGCGCCGAATGTGGGAGTTCGAAGCGAAACGTGTACGAGCGAGAGAGTCCGAGTAAAGTTGGTCGCAGGTCCAGAACGAGACGAGCAGCGTGAGCGTGCCCGAAGACGGCCGAACGCAAGCGGAGCGACCCGAAACGACTAGCGAGGGTTCCTCGCGATGTTCAATGGTTTCAGTACCGAGCCGCCGCGGATCAGGACTCGATGTGGCTTTGTCGTGGGGTTGTTTTGTTGCCGGCACGTTGCGATACGCGACAGAAACGTGTGATTTATGAATCAAAATCGCGACGGAAGTTTGAGGTGTCATTGCGCACAAGTCACTCGATCGATCGCCGCGAACTGCTCCGCGAAACTGCGAGTATCGATCGATGATTCGAGAGTTACGATTAGTGGAGAACGCGCGACGGCGCGATTACGATGTTTCGAGAATTCGAATCTCATTTCGACGCGAGTGTATCTTGCGCACATAATTTGTGAATTTTTTTTTCTCTCTTAACATTTTTATTGTTTTCGTAACGCCATTTACGAACATTTGGACTTTTGAACGCGCACATAGCTGTCTCGTAAGTGTAACACACGCGCTCGATATCGCCGTGACATTTAGGTTAAGTGAAAAAAATCGAAGCCCTTGACGGACGCGCGCTATGCTCCAAGTAAATACTACATACACCTATTCCCGGATATCTGTAGCACCGTATTCAATTAACCGGCATGCGTGTTACGGTCTTCGTCGCCACTTGTGTCGATACGTAGTATCGATACATCGTGATTAACTCCGTCTGCGACTTCATGCAGTTTACACCGCATCTTTTTTCAACTGCTGCTAGAAATGGCCAATGTATTATATAAATGACAGGAAATTTAATTAATGATGCAGCATATTATCGACCACGTCGATTCAAACTAGCAAGTTTCCTATTTAAAATTTAAAATAACCAGTAAACAGTCGTTGTGACAAGCAGATAAACTTTTAACCTGTTTTATTTCAATTATATTTGACGTTATATTTAGAAAAAAAAAATATCAAAAAACTATTAGAATCTTTCTATTTTATATGTTATAACAGAAAAGAACAGAGATTTTTGCGATTGTCGTTTTAATATTGTCGTGTAAGTGTTCCGAAAATTTATTAGTCTGCCAAATTAGTTGCTCGTGTATCGTAACGGAAGATTTGGACCGGCGGAATTTTGAAACACGAATCGAATCGACTTTGCGAGTTCAGCCGAGGCTTGCGTCGAATATTTTATTCTGTTCTGCGGGGGATGGTTTTCCCGCGCGATCGAACGCATTAGTAGTGGGATTCGCGACAGACGTCGAGACAGAAAAGCTCGAAATACGAGGAGAACCTCGTCTTCGAGAGAAGAGTCGCATTTGCGCCGCCTCACGTTACGAACAATAAAACTACAATCGCCACTCAGAGAAGCTGTCAGAAGAAGCTTCGCTCCGTTACGGATCCGTTTATCTGGTAAATCTAGTGATCATTTGTTCGCGCAACATCCGTGAAATCCCACGGCAGCGACAAATTTACCTAACATAGAACGTATCGATCATGAAATAAAAACAAATGATATAACAAATAGCGGTGAGAACGGATGAAGTTTCAACTTGTCGCGGTCATCGTTTGAGAAATTGCGTTCACATCGATCAAAAATCTGTCGGAAAGATCAATCAAGCTCTCAATCAAATCGCGAAAAGTTCTTCCTCTCGATCGAGAAGGTTCTCTCAAGGGTTTAAAAGAAGGATGAAGATTGCGTAGCGTGGACAGAAAACCATCGAGCGGCGATATAACGTACGTCGTTAGCGATATTGCGTTTCGTTCTAGAGAAACTCGCAAGACAAATAACCGGTGTCTCATTAAATTACGACAGGCAGGTGAGCGGCGACACGGATAGGGGACAGTAGTGTCGCGGGCTACGACAGAGCAACAACAACAACAACGATAAAGAGCCAGCGGACGATGTGGACGGCGGCGCAATGCAGCAGCGGCAACGGCACCAGCAGCAGCAGCTACAGCAGCAGAAGCAACAGCAACGACGACATCAACGGCGAGAGCGCCAGCAGCGTCGGGGGTTGCAATTAGTGCTGGCTCGCAACGACCGCGAGACTACGTAACGACTGAAGAGAAGGGGGCGCGCAGAAGTGGTCGTCAGGGGGTCGAGGGTGTGTGCAGTGCGCGTGAAAGGGGAACAAAATGTGGTGGAGGTGGAGGTGGTGGAATGTCGTGACGACGACGACGAGGACGACGACGATGGTGCTGATCCTAGGAATCGCCGCCGCGGTGTACTCGCCGCCGATAGAAACACCCGATCTGAATAAGCCATGTGAGTAAATGCGCTTCGTTACTTTACTAGTTTAATGCCTGATTTATTATCGAGCTTAATCGTCTTGGTGAAATTGAAGAGATGCACTGCGCCGATCCGCTAGTTTATCGATATATCAGCCAATAGACTTTAATAGAAATATCGACTGTCATTAAAATATTCGATCAACTTGTAAAATTTGAGATCTTAAAAATGTATTTAGTACTTGAAATTTTTTAATTAAACAACATCTAGATTCTTCCACATCAAGAGGATATTTTGAGTTTGGACGCTACGCCGTCCAGCTAGCTGGTCGAAAATCGTGACACAGCAAATTAAATCAAATCTCCACGGTCTCTCGTCACGAGGTTGGTGGAAACTTTAAACAGCGGATTATTATCACCGACCTCATCATAGGAAGTTTTGCTCGACCGCGTTCCGACTCTCGGTCTCCCCACGAGAACGAATCTCGAATACGACGTGGTCGATGAAGGGGGATATAAATGGAAAGGTGCTTCTGAATATCATTAGCGACATTCTCCGATGTCTCATAATTAACTGGGCACTTCGCACCCACCGACATGGCCGTCCTTGAGCTATCGGAATTGCTGTGTGTGTATGTGTGTGTGTGTACGCAGTACGCACGTTTCAAAATAATACGACACTTGTGATGACCGTTGTTTTTATTGCTAGTCGAATCTTCAATGTGTAAATCATAATTATTGTAGGAATTTTAATTTATTTGACAAGGCCGTTCGAGGTCGATGCATATGATTAGCGGGAGGAGTACCGTTTTGTGATTAAAATTTCGTGCTATTACGTAATTTTATTCGTTGGACGATATATACACACACACACATACATGTGAATGTTGAGAAACACCAGACAAAGCAAACACGTTTAAAAGCATTTAAATACTTGTTTTAAAACAATTATTCAAATTGTGAAATATAAAAATGTGCAATTTTTATCTAGAGTTATATTCGAATTGAACAATCGTTTTGATTTCTAATGAAAGGTCATCGATAAGACATATTGGTTTTATCAAACCTGTTATTATCGAACGGCGAATGATAAGTCCGTATAAATTCAATTTAAACGATACAGCATAATGAGCTCGTAAAGAAATAGAAGCAAGAAACTAACATTGAAATTGTCTAGCTGTCTACGGACGATGAATGATACTATAATAATCCGCGGTGAGTGTGTGTGGCGTAGTAAAACTAAAAATATAGTCACATATTTTTCCTATATCATCATCGATTACTTGGCAAGTCTACGGTAAATATAGCGGCGGGAAACTTCGGTTGATCGATTATTAAAAAGTTTCCGCCTGTTTGGAATTAATTTCTCGCTGTCTCGTAATTATACTTGGCACTTTATGGACCGTGTACGCTCTGCAAAATTAATTTAACATCCCCTGTAAGCCGGATAAACGGAAAAGAAAATTGTAGGACGGTGGTGTCCGATCGATTCAGGCGCAGCACGTAGAGAAGACTCAGGGAAGGGAGAGAATGACGGCTAAACTAGTTTAATTAAACCACGGCGCTAAGTCCCTCTTAAATTTATAGCCGTGTGATAAAAAAAAAGAATGTTTTACCAGCGCGAGGACGTGAAAAAGAGAAAAAAATTGGGGGTTTCAATAGCCGGAGGTCGACCTTGCTCGGGAACGAAAATAATCTGATGTCGATCCTACGTTTTCGCCAAAATTTTCTTGAGAAAATGTTTGGATATGTTCGTTTATTCGTATTTAAATGTGTGGAAAAACCTACGCATACACATGTGTGCGTAGGTTTTTCCACACATTTAATTCCGAGAAATATTCTCGTAACATCATTTGCATCGAATATATTGATGCTCGCAGTTTGCAATATCAAAGAACAAATCTTTTCTGACATTTCCAAACTGCTCGAATGTATCCCTTGGTAGGCGTGTTTACTGAGAGAATAATAGCAATTCATTAGGAGTATCAGGAATATCAGGGAATATTTGTATCGTCATATGATGACGCATACGGGCGGCCAGTGGGACTAATGTTGCAACGATCAACAATCGCCGAGTACATTCCCCATAATTATAGGAACTATTAGTGTGATAATTGGCGGGTATCTACATTCACCGCGTACATATTCACGTTTAAACGAAAACGAGCCAATTGTAATTACGTTCCCGTGGGATGGTCTCAACCGGGCGAATAAATATTTTCGTGTAAAGGTAATGTCCTGCAACATATTATGTTGCTCATCAACCTCAAATTCAGCGATTAAAGCATTTGTTATTATTTTACGTTCAATTCTCTTGATGATTTTTTAGAGAAAAATATTTTAGAAATCTATATTTCGTACATACATATAATTCGTGCACATAATTAAGTGTGTACGCGCGCGCGCACACACACACACATACACATACCGTGTCGATGCAAATTTTCTCGGATATTCACGAACGCAAATTACCACAATCGCGCGGCAACGGATTCAAAGGCGGTTAATTACGATCGAAATTACTCGGCTTCGTTATAGAATTACTTCACCGCATGGCAAAACGCTATGCTGGCCTATGCTTTCATAAGGTTTATCTGACTTCTACTCCAACAGGTGTTGTCGACGACGGAAGACAACGTGTGTACGCAATATATGCGTAACTAACGTTTCACGTTAATTAACGATGCTTTCATGTTTATTCGCGTAGTGTAAGGCCAGATGCATTTATTTCGCCGTGTTCTGGTATCGCGAATAATGGTATTCGATTTCTCTCTAATGAAGCTAATTTCCGCACCATGCTAAAAACGCGGTCAGTAAATGTCAACGATGAGAGACATATTTATTCTCATAATGTTTCGTTTGTTAATGTTTAATGCTGTAACGCGCGCTTCCATTCGTAAATAACTAAAACCGCGAGTACCGCAAAGAACAACTTTAATGTGTGTATTATCGAGAAATGTACTTTACCCTATAAAAGGAATCCCTTTCATGTTTTTATGAACGTATACATATATACTCCGCGCACTATAAAATGGAAACCAGAGCTTACCTATGGCGAGCTAACATTTTAATAGAGCTTGCATAACAGCTTTCACCGGTTTGCAAATTATGCAAAATATGTTACAGAATATCTCCACTCGAAAAAAACATCTTTTTTTTCCATAAACAATAGCGAAAAATCTAAAAAAGTTCAAGAACAACTTTTCTTCACAAACATAGGTATGTGATGTATCTTTTGTATTAAATTTTGTTATAAGAGTATCCGAATAATATTCTTTATTTGTATTTGTTTAAACATTTTAAATAACACATTTGACGCTCGTGTTCTCTAATAGCAAAATTTATATTTAGATACTAATTTTCACAATCGTAGTTACACCGGTAATTAATTTTGTTTGCCAGCAAAACCGCGAAAAGCGATGGAATGACTACAAAATCGGTTTAATGGGCGGTCATTTGTCATCTTCCGCATGGCGGAAGGTGGCACTGCGAAAGGGGTGAGAAGAATCTCTTGTACTCCTGCTAAGACGATAATTAGCACACGATTTTATCCGCGCCACACCTCTCGCGTCTCGGTGTTATGACTTATCGGAAAACTCACAAAGTGACGAAAACAGCTGCCATATCGTGCGTTTGCACCACTTGCGATTACAGTGAAAATTAAAAAAGATATTTATTAACGTAAACGAGTGCACAATATTGCTTGTCGTAAAAAAAAAAAAATAGTAGATAATTTTTCTTTCTTCCGTCACATATATCGTTGCGTAAGAACCTTATCGAAATAATAATTCAGGGTGGAATAAAAACGGTATTATCGTGGATCTGAAACGAAGCGGAGACGATCAAGCGACGTAACATGTATGTTTCATACCTCCGACACGCGAATACTCAAGATTATCTCGAGTCTAATCCTGGCAAGATTAATTGGAATTGGCAGTGCACTTGTTATTCTTGGACTACCGCTGTGTGCTGAAATAACTTTATGTGCTCGGATGTATAAACCCGAAAGGATCGAAATGATAATTATTACGCGATTTCGGTGGATAATCTCTTTCCGTCAAAGGCAAACTTATGAAAAGGTGATTAACGAACAGCGGCGGTGGATGACGAAACGTGTTTTGCTCGTTTGAACGTCTTTTCATCGCGCGAACCGATTCAAGTCGAGCTTAAATACATAGATGTATTCATATGTATATTCGTGTGATAGAAAACAAATTTTTTTCTTTTTAAACTTGTATGAAGAGGGTCGCGTTACTCGAAAAATGTGGCTTAAATGCGAGAAATTATTGCAGTATCATCTTTGCAAAGGGCGGAAATACCGGCGTGATTATTCGCACGCGATCCCAGTTCATCGCTTACGCTCTGGATGCGCTCGCGATTAAAGTCGGCACGGCATATTTCACTGCCGAGAAATTGTATTATTCATAACTGTTCTTATTTTAAGTACATCCATCATAGTTTCGCAAGATTTTTTTTATTTCTTTCGTTTAAGTTTGCACCAAGGACGCTTCACGCAAATCTGTGTTTACACAAATTCCTTAGACGAGTATTACATAAATATTTTGCATTTCTAGAAATCGGATATTAATTGGTTACGCGCAATAATAATTGCGGAAACGTTTTGCAATATCAAACAAAGATGCGGTACATAAAATTTGTTTCGCGCGCCTCGCGCGGCGAGAATAAACTCTCACCACCGCGAGCATTTCATACGTCGTAATTCGCGCGATTCTGTCAAGAAGCGACATATTTCATATTACTGTAATCCGCTACAAGCCCGGCAACAATGGTGCTGCGTGCGGCGAACGCGCATTTCGAACTACGTATTTCTCACGGACCTTTCATATATGACGGCGAAAATTCAGAATATCGCTCCCGCGAGTCTCGTTCCGCAAAACTGCAGCGCGGCTAACGAGAGGATCCACTTCAATATGTCAATACTATGAGCTTAAACTCGTGACTGGTGACGCGGAATTTCGATACGTTTTTTCCACCGTTGCGCCGCCGTCGTCGTCGAGATAAAACTTAAAAAAAAAA